TATAATAACCAATTGTTTGTATTAGGTGTGACCTTGGACAATGACCTCCAGAGCTCGCGCACTGTGACATTAAAATTTGGGCCACCCAGCTTGACACAAATCAATGCAATGCAAATCAATTTGTACAAGTATGTCACAATCAGTCATTGACTGTGATTACATTACTTGTTCAAATTTAGTATGTCTGTATACTTGTTGGTTGCAAATATTACATTGGACAATTTTGATGATTGTTACTTCACAACTTACTTTTGTTTTGCTTCCCAGAGACGCAAGAAAAAAGAGGAAGAGAAAGCAAAAAAGGATGTTGACGACACCAAAAAGGAAGCTGAGAAGAGTGAAAGTGATAAGAAAGAGGAGACGACTGAAATGGAAACTGATGCCAAGGAAACTGAGAAGGAAGATAAAGAAGTGAAGGAGAAAGGAGATGCAGAAATGAAAGAATCACCAACTGAAGAAGAGAAAAAGATAGATGAGAAAGAAGCTGTTGGGAAGACAGAAAAAGATGGGGATAAAGAAGAGACGGTTGAGGGAGGGCTGGAGGAGGAACTGTTGTTAGGAGATGATGGAGAAGATGATGCTGACTTGTCAATTAAAGAGGAAGATGAGGTAATCTTGAAAAAAGAAGATGAATTAACAGCAGAAGAAGAAGACACAATTCTTGGTAAAGTAGATGAAGAGGAATCTAAGAAGGATGTTGAACCTGTGAAAGCAGAGGAAAAACCAGAGGAGGAACCCCAAGGTGGTACTGATGAAATCGCTGGTGAAGAAAGTCCTGCGGCTGAGGAAGAGAAAACTGGAACTAGGTCAGCTAGAAGGGGACGTGGAAGAGGACGAAAGAAGTAAAAACTTTTTGTCTTCATTCTTTTTAATATTTGATCATTTATACACCTCTTAACAAAGGCTGATAAATTCCCCCACTTTCTATTCTTACTTTTTGAACTGAGCTTTCCATGTGTTCAGTTCAGATGAATACAGAAAGGAACCAGCTGCCAGTTTATTACAAGCGCCATTGAGAATACCATAGTGATAATTTTGTGTCTTAGTTAGTGCCATCTTTTTATTACTTTAATCTGATAAGTTCTTAAGTACATATTATTCCTGTTTGGAATATGAATTGATATCTTGTAAAATGTGTAATTGGGACTGCAAGTTTATTTAAAGCATAGTTGATTATTTTTAGAAATCATGCCCCATTTTCTTTATTAACCTTTTCACCACTAGTTCCCTATTTTTATCACAAATTCACAAAATAGGTCCTGTTTATAGTCGGCACTTTCTTCAGAAGATTAAGACAAAAATGCTAATATAAAACCATTTTTTTTAAAGTAAAAACTGAAAATTTACTTAAACTTGGCTCTGAAATTAGGGTTCATTTCCAGAAATATTGAAGAATATAAAAAACAAGTGCAGATAATTTTTTGGCCAAGTAAGTCTTGTGGTGAAAAGGTCAAGTAATTAGCCAAGTGTTTTTTACATATTGGTTGTGCATTGTGGAATGTAGCATACCTGCAACGAAAATTTGATTTATTCCTGAGTCTGAACTTTCATAAAAATTACATTACATGACATTTAATTTCACTGTGAGCATTCCTGAATATTCAGTATAAGATGCAATTTTAAATTAGACTGAGGTCTCAATTATGTATTTTATGCTCTAGTCACATGTATTGGGTTTTTGATGTCTTTCTAATTCCAATGAAAACCAGTGATAAATTTAGATGTGCTTGATTAAAAAAACAAGTCCAGTGACTAGTTACCTGGATATAATTATTATGAAATCATTGATTTTCTGTTTCTCAATTGTGTATTTTCTGATTTGTATCGTATACCAACATGTATCTGGTTGTGTATGTATGAATTAAAATAGTTTCAGTAACAATTTGTTTTTTTTTTGCTTTCATTTTACAAGGAGGGAATTATGTGTTACAGGGGCATCTCAATCCAAGCCTAATCTCACAAAAAATTTGCTTTTTGGATAAAAATTACAATGGATAACATAAACAATAGTGTCCCATGATTCCTTGGTGCAATCCCTGGGTTTGGCAGGTTCCCCTTTAAACTGTTGTACATTTCGTACAGGGTTCGCCCCAGGGCATTAAAGAGTAGAGGTTTCAGACTGTTTAATTTTAGATAAACAATAGAAACAATTTAGCATAACAATGAATGCAGAAGAGGTAATTAATATGTACATGTATTATTAAAAGGCGACATTTATGTTGATAAACATTGATTTTCCCATAATCCAATTTGCTCTTCTAATGAAATCACAAGTATGAGGTTTGACCTGGGCGCAACTTGTACTAATTACCACCGGTGACAGTCAAAGTTGCCATCTTTGTTCATACGAGACCCATATATCTTGTGCATGCTTGGCGCAATGGCTTTCGCCCTTTAATCTAATTAGCCGATACAGGTTTTCTAGGGAGAACACTGATGTATTAGTTTATGATAAATCATATTAGAATTTGATCATAAACGTGCATGGAGTATCGGGTATAATGTGATCTATTGGTACACTACAATGTTAAGAAGTAATCATAAAAAATATAGATACTGGTTCAGTAGCCCATGGGGGTCACAACCTTGCTGCAAGCAAAATGCACCATGATATTTCGACAAGTTTTGATATTGTCATATATTGAGAATCTGTGTTAATGACTGACCTAACAGCAAGCGTCCTGAAAACTACATCACAATAGACTGCAAATAAAGGGGCATATACAATTAAATTGAGTGTGCTGGAGTTGCATTCTCGGACAATGACATTCGAAGTGTGAAATACTGACCGGGATTGAATATACGGCACACATCCTGCTTGACAACAGCACCCTTACAGAACGCCCGGACGCCCCTTTGTTAATAAACTGATAAACGTTGTGTGAAAGTTTCACTTAAAATAAACAAGAATTGTGCGAGCTATTTAGATTTGAACTTCCATGGTAAACTGAAAAACACAAGTGGAGATAATGGCTAATTTGCATAACCATTCACTCAGTAAGAAGTTTGCTAATGCTCATAATTAAAATGGCTGTAACAGTTCCAAATTTAAACCTATTATCATTTTGTTAAAAGTTACATATAGTGCACAACATGGAGATCCCGTCATTACGTCATTTTTTCACCATGTTTCTTTTTGATTATTTATGTACAGCCTTGCTAAATCTTGCTAAGCATTCAAAAGAGAGAATATTTGTACCCGTTTTCTATATTTTAAAATCGTTTTTTGAGCATGTTCCACTATTCATAATGCTGTGAAATTTTAACAGTCTATAGCCAAAACTGTTTGGATAATAAAAAGCAAAAAAAAGAAAATTCACTTCCAAGTGCCCACGAACCTGCATCTATACCTTAAAAGTACATGCACTTCCTAACACTATGAGTATGGTATGGGTTAACTCCATATTAAATTTTGCAAAGAATTGTTGGATAGAAAATTGAACTATAGGGTTGTAGGGTTGTATATGGCTGTATAGAACAGATATGAGCTCAACCCCCAAACACCCTCTGTAGTTCAATTTTCTATCCCACAAAATCCAATATGGAGTTAACGCATTTCTTTCCTGTACATTATATCAGATGACCCCTATTCAGGAAAACTAGTTAGTTCCTTCAAGAAAAATCTGTACAATCGATCCCGTTATTTTGCTTTTGAATTAATTATGTGAATCTCATAAATTGTATTGTTATGGGGATTAAATTTTATTAGCTCCACTGTCAACATAACAGAACTTTTTTCTTAGTACTTATTGTCTGTCGTCTGTTGTCTGTCGGTGTTAACTTTAGAACTTTATCTTTGACTTCTTGGAAACACCCAGTCTGTTAGTTTTCATACTTGGTATATATGTACCAAAAAAGAAAATCCACTCCCAAGTGCCCACGAACCTGCATCTATACCTTAAATGCTGCAGGCATTCACTTATATGGGGAATTGTCAACGATTTGATTAAAATACGCCAATATAAGGGCCGGAATGGTAAATTTAGTACTTTTTATCATTATAGAGGAAGTGAACTTTAAATAATTTGCTCTACTATTATTATATTTATCATAGCAGTATTTCCCTTAACTTCCAAACTTAACATGATTGTAATGATTTGAGGCTATGACGTTTAGTTTTAATAGTTATTTGCATAATGATATTGATACATTGTCGTGGAACATCTCGTGAGTATTTAGACTCAGTTTCAGGCCTAGCAGTTGAGCAATAAACACCTACAAGTGCTCCTCTCCAGTGCGCTATTATTCCCCTCCGGATTTGGTGACCAATACTCACTTGGTTTACTCTACCTTGAGAAGTCTGTTCTCAGTTTACATATGGTGGCAGCGGTGGGATGTTAAGTCAAAATAATGACAAAGGAGAAGAACATCCCATAGTATACATCAGTAGGAAGTTGTTGCCTCGTTGATGAA